GGCCTGGCCACAATGCACCTTGTGGTATTATGTGCATGCTGAGCGGGGAGAACACGGGTGGCCTTGTCTGGGCTGGACGACAGCGTTCCTCCGCCAAAGAGAGAAATCGGCGCTTTATCCCTGCCTGGGACACACAATCCGCTGGCGACAAAAGAGAGGCCCGAAACATAAATTTGATACCTTTAAATAATACACTTCTCCTCCATCCATCAAATAACCTTGACGCTTGCGTTTCGAAAACAGAGGGGTCTCTCTCTCGCTCTCTTTGTGCCGTGAAACATGTCACCGAATACGTACCATTGGAAGGTGAAATGAAATATTTGTTTAATTCTCCCCCCCTCCCCCCCGTTGCACTGTACAATGTGTCGTGTGCCTTTTAAACCTCACATATGCACGTGTGTGTTTAAACACTTGCTGTCGGGTTTGGTTTGTTTACAGAATGGTGTCCAGTAGTAGCAGCCACCAGGGCATTGTAATCCTATGGTAGGCGGCAGTTTAATAATTATTTAATTGAAACAAACATTCCCTGCTTTTCTTTTTGACTCTCGTAGATCTGAAGTGAACATAAAGTTCACGAGGAGACGCGCGTAATCTTAGTTGGGTGTCCGTGCTCAAAGAGGTTATGCAACCAAACGTGGCCTCAAAGTGCACCTGGTCTGGCATAGGCGCCGAGCTGACATCACCGTCACTTAAGTGGCGAATGGTTGGGTATTGGTATGCAACCAGAATGCTAAACGTCTTTGGAAATGCTGACGATCAAATGAGGTTACACGCGTAGTACTTTCAGCTTATGCGTTGCAAAATGCGTTTGACGAACAACAACAAAAGGCAGGCGTAGCAGAAGAGAACGCCCCGTTCTGCCACTCCACACACGCGCAGCACGGTGGCGTTTCATTTGAGCGGTACATGCCTCAGTCGTTTGACACCTCGTCCCCCTCTGCATTACGCAACACGGCGTGTTGTTGTGGTGTTTTTTTTCTGCAGCTAATTTGTTGGGAGTTTTTTTTTTTAAAGAAAATAGTAAACGTGATTGTTTCATTTCCAGCCCTTTGTCACGCCAGTCCTGGGCAATTGGGGGGGGGGGGGGGGTGGGGTGGGGGGGTTACTTGACCATACTTCACCATGGCGGGGAGTTAGGGCTCAGGGTGGAGGCCACGCCTGTCCAGACATCACTCACCGCTTGATTTTAGACATGGCTGGGAATCGAACTCAGGTCACCGAGTGTCCACAGCAGTGCGCTATAACCACTGCACCGCTGCTTGACCCGACCCCCCCCACTGAAATATATCACTTGTGTCCAAAGCTTTAAAGCACGGCTGTATTTCAAGAGAGTAAAAGTGCAATGGTGGATACACAAAGTTCACAAGGTCAACGGTACTGTTTAGGGTGTTACAAGACCAAAGGCAATAGATAATGTTTCACAGGTCAAAGATAGTTCAAAAGGTTCAAGTGTTAATACACTTTACAGCAGAACCTGATTACAAAGCATGTAAACACAGGGCTAATGTTACTCTCAACTGGGCCAATAGCTGAGGAGAAATTAAGTCAAGAGGCTAAACCCACCCAAGCAGAGGCATGGCAATGAGAGAGTACGTAGACCAAACAATACAATGATGTCATATTACTTAGCAGCCTTTAAGCGCGTGCACCGAATATTTAAATAACCCAAGCTCAGCCACTAATTTACCTTACGAATAATTGGCATTATACGGGTGGGAAAAAAATCGACTCAGCAGCAGCAGCATGATTACGTTGTAAATACACACTTCCATCGACTCCTAACGAGCTCGTTTCAAATGCGCAGCAAAGCCAGCGTTGGGTTGTCTACGCTGCAACATTCACAGGCTCGGTATTTTCGGCAATTGTTTTTGGACAAAGAGGAAGGTCAACTATTGCCGACACTGCAGCGAAACCTGTAGCGCTATGTTGCTGTAAGCAGGGCCGCCATCCAAGGCTTTCTTTCGTAACGAAGACGGCACCCTCCTCTAACCGTTCAACCTCGCAGCATAAGGAGGGAAGGAGGGGGGGGGGGTTAGAGGGGAATTTTAACGACGGCAAACTTTGTACCCGACACCAAAAGCCCTCTGTGTTGAGCCATCAGATTGTATCCATACATACAGCGGGCTACATGACATTTTCATCACCGCACGCTGTGTCCCAACAGGCATCGCGGCAACTGGGCAAGGCACACAAAGCCCATGTATATTGTTTGCTCACTATGATTTTATAATGTGAAACCTGGTCTACGATGTCGATCATATTGTACTGCCACATTGAAACCTCGGCGAGGGGGAGAATTAGCGGACTGTATCTGAAGCCGCGATCGCCAAGGACAACGTAAACATTACAAGAGCGAGGTCAAATCACTTTCATAGCACAATGTGGGAGGGTTAAAGGTCCCACCACATACATTACTTTTCTTACACCACTGCTGGCAGAAGCACCTCCACTCGAGGGGATTCTAGAGAGCTCCTCTACAAGGTATTCTTGGCCTATTCAATTCTGACCAGATGTCTTGAACGTGATGGGAGTACTCACCACTTTACCAAACTGTTGAGTATTTCACCCACATTTCAGCACTGACCCTGGGCCAGCAATGGCGATGTCAAACACACTCATTTGAGAAGGAAAGCACTGCGACAGGAACGGGCAGTGAATGCGATCACCGCGATTTTAATCGTACGGTCGTGCCGAGCCCCGTTCTGGTGAACTGCGCTAATGTTGGTGGAACGGTTTAAGAGATATCATAGACAATATCTGATGTGAATATAAAAAAAATCGGGGAAGGATGTGGCCAGCTGACTCACTGGGGCTAATGCGTCCATTAGCCGATTGCACAAACAGCGCCGTAATCCAAAGCACAAACACTCGTGAATAAGGGTTGATGATTTAAACCTGATCACCAGCTGACTGCACGAGTGAGCACCGATCAACCATGGAAGTCTGTAAATTATGCGAAAAACCCATCAGAACAGAATAGTAGCGCAGGCCTAGACAACCGGTACGTTTTAAAACAACACACATAAATATGTACAAAGCCTTTGTGCACCATGCACACAAACCATCAGCATTTCCTGAAAAAGTGTAGTGGTCCTCTTGTCTTAGGTCAATGCTAAAATACATTTGAGAAAACATGACAGAAGCAGTGACACAATGATAGGACACAAATGTGGACCAGTTTTGTGCTCATTAGGACTCATCGGCACGGTATAATCACCCATTGTATTCTTGGTTCTTTCGGTAAAGTCACCACGTAGAAGGGAAACAATAAAATAATACAAATATAAAACAATTAAATTATCACGACGTTTCGACTGCTACACAAGCAATCATCATCAGGTGTGAAAACCACAACAAGAAAATTTGAAAAAAAGTGGCAGTTATTTTTAACCTTAGCACCACGGAGAGCGATTTGACAGTTTGTTCAGAAGGACGAGTCCATCTATGTTCGGAAAAGAGGAGGGGGGGAGACGAAAATAATGGATGCGGTCTGAAAGCCACCTTAAGCGTGATCAATCAATTAAGACCCAAAATGGTTTATCAAATCCTTCCAATGATTGCTAAGCCAGAATCCATCTTCTCGGTTGAAATTGTCTCTGTGTTTGTATATGTGGATAGCCTCATGAATGAATCTCTCATGGGAGCCAGATGGCTTGTTCCTGGTCGGATATAGCCAGTTAACTCAAGCACGTACACCAAGCTCTTAAGGCTAATGGTTATTCCGACTACACAATCCGCAAAGCTATCACTCCAACCATGAAGAAGGACCCTCTTGAGGAGCCTTTCAAAACCATCACTTTACCCTGCATTGCGGGGATCACAAACAATATCTCCAAAATCTTGAATAAACACAAGATCCAGGTCCGATTCAACACATTACATAAAATCCATGATCTGGTTCCATCTGTAAAAGATGTGATTCCGGACATAAAGTACCCTGGCGTCTACAAACTAAGTTGCCTCTGTGGTAGTAGTTACATTGGAGAAACCAAACGACATGTCTCGGACCGCATTCGTGAACACAAAGCAGACCTGAAACACGGTAGGACCAACACCTCGGCCGTTGCAGATCACTGTTATAATTCAGTAGGTTCACATGACATTGACTTCTCCAAGACAGAGGTTCTTTGCAAGCCATCTGGCTACCATGAGAGATCCGTTCATGAGGCTATCCACATATACAAACACAGAGACAATTTCAACAGAGAAGATTGATTCTGGCTTAGCAATCATTGGAAGGATTTGATAAACCATTTCGGGTCTTAATTGATTGATCACCCTTAAGGCGGCTTTCAGACCGCATCCATTATTTTTCGTCTCCCCCCTCCTCTTTTCCGAACATAGATGGACTCGTCCATCTGAACAAACTGTCAAATCTCTCTCCGTGGTGCTAACGTTAAAAATAACCGCCACTTTTTTCAAATTTCTTGTTGTGGTTTTCACACCTGATGATAATTGCTTGTGTTGCAGTCGAAACGTCGTGAGAATTTTATTGTTTTATATTTTTATTATTTTATTGTTTCCCTTCTACGTGACTTTACCGAAAGAAACAAGAATATGAATCCTTGCAGTCACGAAAGCTTTACATCAAAATATAATCACCCATTGCTTGCAGAGTCTGCCTCTGAAAATAAAATACTGTATGTGGAGTCTCCACTTCCACGCTACGGAACCCATTAGTTTAGCTAACGGCAAACAAAAATCAAATCACCGTGAAAGCGGCCCAGTAGCTTAGTGCTCAGCATGCTCGCCACTAAGGTCAATGCCCACTGATTCAATTCCTGGCGCAGCCACCTGGCGCTTCAGCCACCTGGTGGATTATCCAACCGTATCATCTGCCGCTAAGACACATCAAATGCCCCGTGACTTAATTTGCGTGTGATGCCGTGCAACAGTCCCCTTTCAGTCACCGTAACAAATCGCAATGGTAATGGCTGTAAACAAATTAAAGCGGACACAATTTCACAGGAAGGCAGAGAGGAAAGGTTGGACAACATTACCTGGTGGCTTGATCCGTGTTGCAGCTTATAAAGACAAAAAGCAGAAGCGGAAGATTAGGAGGTATATATGAGAGAGGTTTTAATTTTGTCAAAAAAGAAACAACTCAACTGTGTTTTAATCGAGAGTGCTCAAGAGTAAAAATATGGTTCATTCCAATCGTTGCTTATGATGAAATTTCCAAAAACCACCTTCCGCAAAATACCTTTGATGCAAATCTAGTAATACATTGTGGAGTGTTTATGACAGATATTACAGAAACTGCACAATGGCATTTCAGACGGCAGAACATTTTCAAAGATCTTTTATGTTTTACAATAAATATTTGTTTTCGTTCAAAGGCACAGGAATGAGACAAAAACACCCGCGAGAAGGAGGTTGTAAAGGAAACAACAGGGCCTTTCTGCCTGCTTCATAACTTACAGCACCGCTCCGATGGCACGAGAATGCGTAGAAAGGTCACTCGACGCGAGTGTGCATGGTGATTTTTTTTTCTCTCAACCATTTAACCACCACCGTGTGCTCAGCGAAGGACAGGTGTAATGACCACTTGCAAGCGGAGCTAAGCGTAAAATTGGCCCATGCTCGACAAGGTGCAGCATGCGCATGCGAGCGCCGGTACTCTGAAACGAGCGTGGTATAGGCACGCGACGGAAGAGCTCCGTGCTGGGGTTTTTTTTTCTGCATTTAAAATATATAAGCAGACAAATTTGCCTCCTTCACACATCTGTCCTTCCACTACTTAAAAATTTTAAGTATATATATTTTTTTACACGTACCATGGGCCACCGTTGTCTTCTGAGAGTGCATAATTTCAGCAGCGTTGGTTCAATACAAGCAAACTCTGGACTAGTTTCAGCACTCATCAGCATCTCTCATCATCAGTCAGGCTTGCTTGGACCAATGCTAGCCAACTGCCAGATGTTTGGAGGCAGGGATAATCTTGTTATATATGGGTCCGAGTTTGACACAAAGTCATTGAATGCATAACAGACAATAATCAGGATAAACATTGTGGAGAATATAAGTATTGTGTTACAGTATTTATGTCCTCCACAAGGACACTCATTACTTTATTGTTTTCATCCAGATATGTTATGGTATTTAAAACTACAAGATTACATCAACACATGCCAATGCGATTTAAATGCTTCACTGTTAATAAGTAAAACTTTTCAGTAACACGTCTTACGTGACCATGTGTTCCTATTATGATTTTGGAGTCTATTATTCAACTTCAAATATATTGCAGGAACAAACTCAGCTGGTACCAAATTCTGATAAGCCCCTCTCTTTCAACAATAAGTTGCACCCCAAAGATGTGCCGCCCCATGTGAATACAGTTCTACAGATCTGGTCAAACACAGATGCATGCCTTATAGATTATAAGATGCAACTCCATATTTACAATACAGAGGATAAAGTTCATCTAATTATCCAAAGAATATGTAAAGCTAAATTTTGATTTAAAGCTTTCGTGACTGCAGGGATTCATATTCTTGGTTCTTTCGGTAAAGTCACGTAGAAGGGAAACAATAAGATAATAAAAATATAAAACAATACAATTCTCACGACGTTTCGACTGTAACACAAGCAATCATCATACCGAAAGAACCAATAATATAATATGTAAAGCCTTAAAGGTTAGTTTAATCAGAATAAGGTATTTGTTTCCTCATGTAAAATTGATCTCAGGGGAGCAGGAACACTACTTTAATGACATTCCACATTCTAAACCCAACGGTATCTTTACACTCATTACTTCCATTAGCGTAAACACATGAATATATTAACGCTTGCACACAAATATATATATGGACAAAGAGTACACAATACAAGAACTATCAAAACACCCAAAGGACAAATTAAATATTTCAATCATGGAGATGTTGTCGCAATTGCCATTTGCGAGCACTTATTAAAACTGACACAGCACATAAGGGAGTGGTGTGGTCACCACCACGGACGCATGGCTTATGCCAATGGTGACCTCACCAAAACGATAATTATCGTTTATTCTCTGCGGGATAAAGGACCTCCCCAGAACCCTGTTGGCCATGGGTGCTGTTTAACCGTACTTCACCACGCCGGTCAGTGCGCATTAGTGAAGGGGAGGCCCAAGACCGCTTCGGATATCGCTCTCCTCTGATGTCAGCCATGGCCAGGAGCCAAACTCAGGGTATCGGGTTCATAGCCCAGTACGCTAACCACTGCACCGCCACTCCATCTACGACGACACCAATACAGTAGGTGCGTAGTTAAGCGAAGTGAGCCAATGGACGACCCAGGCCACATTATTATACAAGTTACCACTGGACAATTAAATAGACTGTGCACACATATACATACTATGCATGTATATGTGTTGAACTTCTATCACACCGTACGTAGCCAACCGTGCTATTCAGAGAGCATTAGACCACGGTCGACTCCGTCCGTCAACCCTTTGCGTTGCACAAAATGTGTACAAATTTGTGGCAAAGTCAAGAGTCTTCGGAATAGTGCAGCACCAGCCAAGGGAATGTGGAATTCCCACCACGAGCTCAGGGTTGCTAATGCTCCTGACCCCATCTCTGTTCAATTCCAGGCACAAGTCCTTCCTCTTCTGTTCTGGCTGTGACTATTGACTCTCAAGAGTGCATACAGTGTATATATAATGTATATATGTGCATTTCACACTAAAGTGTAGATAATCTTGAGATGCATTTTTTTTGCAGATGATATATAAATCCAATGTATATGTGTTGTTGGAAGGGGGAAACACTTTGAACTTGGTAAAAGCATAAATTAAACCTCTTGTGTTCTCTATTGTAGTGATTGTGTTTTGTATTTATGCACAACATCAGAGGGAAATGAGGAGGCGTAATGTCCTATGACCCACGTCTGTCTTCTTGTGTTGAGGTTAAACTTTTAACACATTTTTTTACCAAGGCACTGTGCCTGGAGCACAGCAGGACGAGCGCGCGAACCACGTTCATGTTAACAAACGTGCATTTCTGCTATTTATTCCCCCTCGCCTCCTTATCGGGCCGGCCAGTGTGACGACGAACGCGAGAGGTGCTGGCATCCCTCCCGTCAAAACACCGAAGAGGCGACAAAGTGGAAATCGTTACTTAAATATCGACCGAAACACTCCGTCCTGAAACTTTCAGGGTCGGGCTGTGGAATGCCGCAGGATGGTACTCCACATCACCGTGGGTTTACTGGGGAAAATATTTGAGAAGCACTCGCTGGGCAGGGTGGGATTTTATTTAAACGTAGGCGGCGATTTAAAGTCCGCGTGTGAAAATGCTGCTGCAATGCGCTCCTCTCTGAGCTCTTCACCACATCGAGTGGGCATTTTTTTTTTCAAGCGAACTTTCTTACGAAAGATTTAAAGAAGCGAAAGTGGAGGCATACACGGGATATTGAAGCGCATTTCTTCGAATAATTATGGATTGAAAGGGAATTGTACAATAATTCTATATATTTTTTTTATAATCATCATAATGATGATTACTGTGTGACTAAAGACACCCGGGTGTTCCTTACAATACAGGTTATACAGCCGGGTGTGGTGGTACGAACATTGATTACATTTTCTGGATTATAAGATGCCCGAGAAAGTTAGACGCACTGCACCTCAAACTTGCGCCCCATGTCAATCACGTGATTTAGACACACACGGCTACCACCATTATAGCACACACCCAAACATTGGCTTTAAAGTATGGGGGAAATGGCGCTTTGTAATCTGGAGAATATGGTGGTAATTCATTACTTTGGAGGAAGGTTTTTGTAGATGAGGTTGAAATTACTTGTTTGAAAATTACACAACTTTCTGAGTCGCAGAGGGGACGGAAGACTGCTTGCAGCATAGCAAGCCGGCCGTCGACCTGTCCACACGGATTTTTATTTTGCGTTATCCCCTTGTACAAGCCGGTTTTCTCGAGGAGCTCCGGTTTCCTCCGTCAATAAAATAAATAGCCGAGTAAGGAATTTACAAAAGATACCGAGCAGCATCCTTGCGTGGGTCAGCTGTCATCTCCAGCCAGCGGTGTAAATCCCAAATTCCGATGTGAATGAAGTCATCGCGTAGATATATGTTTATGTACAATGGCAGGAGCAAATCTCTCGTAAAGAAAACAAAGAATGGCCAAAGGTGCAGCCGGCCAATTGCTAGCTCACACCACTGCTGGCGGAAGGGGCTCCCCCGCTCGAGGGAGCTCTGGAGAGACCCCTCTACAGGGAAGTTTGGCCTATTCTTCCCTACCGGCTAGACGTCTTGAAAGAGACGGCACTAACCCACGCTTTACCCCACTGTGCACGACATGCCGGCCGACTGACTGTGGTGGATACGTTTATACTGGTGGGTGTACAGAGGCGGGGGGAGGGGGGGGGGGATTTAAGAAATTTATCCCAACGACCTCTGGATTGCAAGTCCAGTGCACTGACCACACGACGAGAGCCAATGTGCCTGTTTAGATTGTATCCCCATAGGAATCTCGGCAAAAAAAAAGAGATGGCATTGGAAGGTGTCTTGATAAATTACAATAGCAAAGAAGTCGAGGCACCCAGATGCCCTGACACGCAGGCTTTGCGGAGCGCCAGTTACGCTGAGCACTTCATCTGTGTTGAATCAGGACTGGCATTCACCACTTTGCCACGGTCTCCTGGCAGGTACCGCTGTTGAAGGTAGGAGGAAAATTCTAGTGGATGGACTTTGATTGCAGCTGAAGAGCATTACGAATTGGCAGGGCATACGAACATTGGGGGGGGGGGGAAGATCAAAGGGATGATAAACCGCTTCGGAAGGGTCATCTGGTTCTCATTGCTCAGCGGTTCAAATAGGAGAGCCCAGGGCAGCTTTACTCACGTAAAAAATATACATTCTTAGTGCGTGTAAGTTTACGTATGCACACAAATGGAATTCGTAAACGTTCATGATAACAATAGCACCTATTTATTTGGATCTTACACAAATTCATGTGATTGATGGAGCTAATTCATTTTCAGTGTTACTTCAAATATTTTCCAGCTGGTGCTG